TTCCTGGTGAACCGACTACTGGCCCCAATAACTGAGCTCTTCACCCGGCAGAATTTGACAGCCGGGTACTCTGCAGCAAGGCAGATCATGCAACCATTCATGGCTTCGGTCCCTGGAATGCCTTCCTCGTAAATGTGGACCATGATGAGGGTGCTTTTCTGTTCTTTATCAATCATATCTAAAAACGCTTCTCCACTTGGGATCTCAAAAACCTGCTTGAATTGAGGCCCCTTGTGAAGCTGCTGCCGCATCTCTTCCATTCTCTGCTTCCGATACTGTTGCAGGAACTCTTCATCATCTTGGTCCTCATTCATCATGGCAAAGTCCTTCAGAGTCATCTGCAGGTGACCAGTGAGTGAGCATAAAGATGCAAACTGAATACTTCTGAGAATAATTAACAGGTACCATGTGCTTAGAGTATTAAGGCACATGCTGAGTGCTTTATACATATCGTATCTCAATCTTTTTTTTTTTTTTTTTTTTTTTTTTTTTTACGGCTACAGGGAAAGTGTGCTTGCCCAAGAAAGAAATAGAAAGAGAAAGATTGAGAAATCACCCTCCAAGAAGAATTGTTATACTGCAATCCCCATTTCTCCATCTCCTCTTGGGATTTTGAGCACACAAGCAACTACACCCAGTTTATTTTCCAAGCTACTAGGTCTAGCACTCAAGCCATCCAGTCAGCCATATGGGATTCAGTTGCCTTAACCACCATACCACTGACTGGTCTCTCACTGAATTCTTATAATTCCATCAGGAAAAAATTTTAATTTTCACCATTTTATATATGAGGTTCCAATACCTTATTAACACAAGTTTATACACCTGTGGTAAGTGTCAGAGCAAGATTTGAACTAAATTTTAAAGCTTTGGCTGCTGGGTTGGTCCCACTGCCTAATGATTAAGGGAGCCTCATCCCACATGGCTGACTCTGGTATGAATCCCAGTCCCAGAAGCCTGAAAAACACCAGACATATGTGCGTGCGTACCCAAAGTCTCAACAGATGGGAAAACGGAGAAGGAAATGCAGTGTGCCCACACTCCTTTGAGAGATGCTTCCCTCCTACTACACTGTTTCTCTGTCTCTGACAATAGTACATATCCTTTGGCAATTTAAAAATTAAAAAATAAAAAAGAATAAAAAGACTCAGAAAGGAAAAGGGATTCCATCAGCAGTAGGAGAGCTGAGATTCACACCTGGGTTATCTGTGTTATGACAGATCTATACTTTCCCCTGCACTGCACAGCTTCTTACAAGCCAAATCAAACATCTTTCGCTTCTTAAATCACCCAATTCTACCAGCGAGGGCAACATCTGAGAAGAGCCTGGGTACTAGAAATTACCTTCCCAGTGATCTTCTCCTGGAGGTCCTTCTGTTTCTGTTGTTCCTCCTCTTCATCCAGATGAGACCTACAGGTCATTGACAGCTTCTTGATCAGCCTCTCCATCTCCCGACACTGCTCTTCTCTTTGCTCTGTCTCCAACTGCTTGTAGCGGCGCCAATCATTGATCACACCTTTTGGACCTGAGTGAGGTGAACATGAATGTGACCAGGAAGAATGAGCAAGAAATTCTGGACCAGAATTCTCACATCTGTACACAAAAGCTCACAGCTGTCGGAAGCTTGTTTCATCTACTGCAATCAATGCTCACACAGGACAGAGAGGTCTACACACAAAAATGTGCACTGGACACAGTTTGCAACAATTAAAGGGTCAAGATCATGTCCAACGTTAGGAGATGAGTTAAATAAATTATGATCCATCTACTTTAAGGAAAATAAACCAATTATTACAAAGGAGTCAGCTCTGTGTTTCTTATCATGTAATGTAGTCCAAATGTATCAGGTTAAAAACAAAAATGCAAAACAGTACCATGAGATGATATTTCAGTTTTTATAAAAAGAACTGCATGTGTATAGCTGAGAATTTATGTACATGCACATACATATATGTTGGTGTATAGACTTGTGTGTTCCTAGAAAAAGGGCCAGAATGATACAGTGATTGTCTCCAGGTAGTAAGATCTGAGGGAATTGCTAAAAGAAAGAAAACTTTTACTTTTTCTTTTCTTTTTTTTTTAATTTTTTTATTTACATTCATTCACTATACATCATCACGGCAAACAAAATGAGATTTCCCATCCAGAATACACTGTATATTAGCTCAATCAAGCACATCAACATACGTGTTATCATCAACGAACAATTTTCCGTTTCCTGTTTCCTTTGTATTACGTTATTTTTGCTATTCTTGATTCCCTATCTCTCACCATCTGCCATGTCCCACCCTCCTCCCACACTGTCTCTAATACTTCCAATAGCAAGCGCAGCTGATAAATACATATCCATGAACACAAGTCTGACCCTAGGCATAAACCTCAGTGAGTAGAACGAACATACAACAAAGTAGCACCCAGCCGGGACTATATAGCTTACTGCGGTCCTCAAATATACATTTTTTTTAATTTAATGAAAAATCATTTTTGTGATTTTTTTCTCTTGAAACTTTTTTTTAATTAATTAATTTGCATTCATCCCCTAATCATCGTCACAGCATACAAAAAGTGTTTTCCATCCCTAATATACTGCATAGTGGCTTAATCATGTATGTTAGCAATAATTTTCCATTTCTAGTTTCGTGTGTGTTTGTGTGTGTGTATACATATATATATTTACCCCTATGTCTGACCTTCTGCCCTTTCCTACCCTCTTCTCACACTGTCTCTGTTGTCTACAGTTGTCTTCCATTTCTTTTCCCTCCACATTTTATTGATCATACAATTTCTTAAATAATCTAACTACTTTCAATAGCAAGTTCAGCTAGTAATTTAAAGAAAAGCAGGGTTTTTTTTTTTTTGAGAGTTTTTTCACTATAGGGCCCATGCGCTCGCCAGAAAGACAGAGAGAGAGACAGAGAGACAGAAAGCGAGAAATCACACCCCAGAGGGGATGGCCATGCCACAATCCCTTCTCCTCCATTCTCCTCTTGGGATCTTGGGCATGCACGCACTCGCGCCCGGTGTGGATTTTAAGCCATCGGGTCCCTGACACGAACTGTGGTCGACTACATAGGAGTCCAGCGACATAGCCATTACGCTAACTGCTGGTTCCCAAGAAAAGCAGTTTTGAATTGGTAAGGAAATTTCCTTAAAACTTAAAGCCTGGAAACAGGTTAGTATCCTGTTCAAATAGTAGGTACATGAAACTATTGACAGCTCAAGATA